ATAGCGTGTAAAAATATATTGAACAAAAATATTTTAAACAAAATTATATTTCATCAAAATCTATTATAATCATAATAATCATAATATACACTAACAAACGGTTAAGATGGTATTTTTAAAAGAATATAATATAATGATGAGATGGTATTTTTAAAAGAAGAAGATTTATCTATACATATAATAAAATTTTAACTGAGCCGAATCTGTGATCATTAAATATTTTTTGGAAAATCTTATTGAAATAGACATTATTATCGATACAGGGATGGAATCTATAGTTTTTAGAATTTTTCTGTCTGTCTGTGACCGCATCACGGGAAAACCACTGGACAGATTTTGATGAAATTTGGTATGATAAAACCTGATTGTCCGGGCCATCATATAGGAGATTTTTACAGTGGAAGAACATCTCACCTCTGAAAAATATATACCTACTACATCTTAAAACGTAACTAGGGACGAACCCGAGCGGAGCGAGGGTCAGTCGCTAGTAAACTATAAAATATCATTTACAGTGACAGCGTAACATACGGACGGTAATGAGGGCTCAAAGCATTGTAACGATAACAAGTCACAAAGTTCCCTTTTGAAAAGTGGTCTAGTGAAATCATTATGATAAATGAATGATAAAATGTATACGTGGTCGGTAAGCTCATGCGTGATTTTTCCAATTTACTGACATATCATACTGATATAGCTTTTATAAACGTAAGAGAAATTGTGCATTCGCAAACAAGACAAATGGACATTTATTGGAACAAATACGACATTTATTTATTTTGCGTTTATGATAAACTCAAAAGGGTAATTAAATAAACGATGTATTAATTTTTGTAATAAACGAGATATTTATTTATTACTACACTTAAACTACAGAAAAACTAAAAAGTAAGTTTCATACAAACTTTCGTAACCTATTTTACCCTCTTATGGGATGAATTTCGAAAAATGCTAAAACACGTATTTATTTCATTGTATTGAAGAGAATTAATACCAAGTTTCAAGTAATTCTGATGATAAATAGTTTTTGGGTTGTATTATAATGTGTTGTCCCGTGGGAATGAGATTATCTCCCGCGATAAAACGTAGCTTATGTCACTCTCCAGCCCTCCAACTATATTCACACAAAAAACCACATTAATCCGTCACTCCATTTCGACTTGAAAGAAAGGCAAACAAATAAATAAATAAACAAACAAACACACTTTCACATTTATAATATTAAAAGTATGGATTTCATTCTATACTTTTAAAGCTTTTTATATTACATAACTAAATGAAATAATAAAATAAATACCTATGAGAAATCTAAGTAACAAAAAATATATACTGCATCGTAACACAAACCATACGAAAAACAGTTCTCAATTTTTACTTATTTTTTAAAAGACATGACGACATTGTCTTCACTTGTGTTATTATTTATTCGTGTACGTACATATGTCTGTATGATAAGATATAACAGTTCGTTCTGTTGTTGGAATTGACTGGTATTAAGTATTCCTACATAATATAATGACAATACATTTTCTTGTTGATGAAAATGTGTGGAATTGAGTGATATTGACTCATATGCAGGCTATCTATATTGTTAATAAAATAAATGTAACCTCTATATTTAAAAGACCAACTGTTGAGTTTCTCGCCGGTTCTTCTCAGTTTTCCGAGCTAGTGGTAGCCTCCTCACGGACTGACTACACTGACGCTTTCATTAAATTGACGATTCAAAAGTACCTACTTGTAATAAGTCTAATTGAGTAAAGTTTATTTCATTTCATTACAATATTACCATTGGGTCTCATCATAAACAAAGAAAATTAGTTCAAATAAATGTCTATAGATGACGTTACATGTATCGCTTTGTTATTAAAGTAGTGTTAAATTAACAAAAGGTAAAAAAAAACCCAAAAAGGTGCATTATTGTTTTAAAAAATATTCTAAGTGAAGTGAAAGGAAATAATGCGCTTGTAAATAAAATTTGCGTAATTAGTAATAATCCGAAGATGGAGTCCAGACGGGGTAAATAGATTTCACCAAATCCTTCGCGTAAAATGTTAAGTTTTGACTCGTTACAGCCTTCATAGATAGTTTTCAGATAAATTTAGCCGATGATAAAAGGAATTTCTTATTACCTTTATGTAAAACCCTCGAGATTGAGCTTATTCGATTCATTTCGACGATATTAATATATCCGCCCCGGGGGCGCTCGCCGTCACCACCAGCGCCGCACCCGTCGCGTTAGCTTCCACATATCCTCCTAAGGATATTCCTACTTGTTTATATCTCAAAGTAATTAAATTAAAAAAGAGACTTAAGTACCTAAATAATTTCCTAGTACGAAGATCAACAAAATATAGACGTTTGGTTCTGTCCTAGAAAGCGATAGAATTTTGTTATAGAAACTAACATTTAAAATATAACTAATAAATGAATGGTAGCTTTCATTTACGAGTAAAATGTAGATACTTAATAATAGGATATTTTGGTTTATGGTAATTAAGGTGTGACTGAGAAGCCATAAGTTGATGAAAAGGATGCTAAAAGCTTTGACCTGATACCTTAAAAATAAATCAGATTTGCTGGGACAGCAGATTGTTGTTAGACTTTAAACAATGCTAGATGATAAACCCTGAAAGTAATAAAAAAAACTATAATGGTCTTGATAAATGCCTTAAGTTTGACCTTGTTAGAATTACTATTAATAATTAATAGGTGTCGATAAGTAGTTTTTTATCACATTGTGACTATCGTTTGACAATAAATCCAAATAAAATATACAAAGCACTACTAATACAGGTTTCATATGAAAGCTTATATTTTATTAATACGTAGCATTAAGTAAAACAGACGTATTACCATATTAAAAATATTTTTATTTTAGATGTTTATATAAAAGAATGTTTTAAGTACATTCATTTATCTTATAGCTTCAATAGATTCGTCTTATAATTACTATATCAAAGTTAGTAATAAATTTCGCTTATAAATATGTATATAACGATTTTTCAATACTGACTACAAGTAATTTACACCTAGTATAAAAGCAAATAAAACTTTTTACGCGAACTGAGAACAGCAAACATTTTAATGCACTTCATTAAAAATCCATTAAAAGCGTCATCGATGTAATGTTTTCTTGTCCGTTATTTGCAGCTTCATTCCAGCTCTGGAAGTGTTATCGTTTGAGGAATGAGTAATTATTTTCTCATTTATTTTAAACACACGTCGTATATTTTACTTAATGTACGACTATTAAGTCAAATAACAATAATGAGTCACTAAATTGATACAATATTAATAAAACTTCCAAATACTATCATACTCCCAATATATTTCTATTCAATTAAGATCCCTAAACTAGAAACCTAGATTTATAACAAGGAAGTACTAGAAGCATAACAAAGCAACTAGCTCTCTTAGTTTCATAATAGACAAAATAATACATTACAATACACAAACAATACTATATACAAATTGAGATAATTGATGAAAACATTTCACAGTAGTCAATACTAAGGTATAAATTGTATAAGTATTCTCGTAGACTCAATACAAACGATGAAACGTGCACAAAGGAACAGTTATCTACAAATAAATATTTTACTAATAAGAATAATTGCGTATATGATAGCTAATTAAAATATTTTACATTTTTACCATAAATACGCTTAAAGTTAATATTGATTAAAACGTGCATTTTTTTAAATTCTATAAATTAGTATGTATGTACCTTGATATAGATAATTATGTAAGAATGTATTATTTCATAGAATACGTCCTGTGACAAAATACAAAGTGTTATATCCTAAGGAGATGAATTATTTTTAAGAACGTTAATAACAAGTTTATCATCATTCAAATAAAAATAAATGGCATTAGGGAAACGATACTTGCATTTAGAATGCTGTCAAGGGAATTACGCTAGCGGAGATCAAAGAGAAAACTACGAGTACATTTATGAAATAGTATCCCTGTCTGGCGACATGGTAAAATATACTTTGATGTAATATCTTTAACGTACATTAAATACTGAGTAACAATGTTCTATTCAACATATTATTCGTAGATGCGACGATTTAATAATCTGCGCTATGTTTATTGTCTATTTCGCTTTTAAAATTGTTTATTGTTGTGAGTTTCATAAAGCACGGGGACTTCACGAAACAATTTTGTATCAGCTAAAATCCTTTTCATCCTCGTAACTATACATACCTATGTTGAAATGTCGGGATCAAACGATAAAAGTTGAAAACTGTATGTTTCAAAGCTTTAAAATTAAAATATAACAATATGCCATTGCATGGAGATGCAATTGAAAAAGCAATATTAATGTATGGCATATAGTGCTCATATTAAAGACTTACATAGTAAATACAATCAGTTATTTTTTTCTTAATTTAGTAGATACTAGCGAATTACCCTCGCTTCGCTCGGTTGCGTCGCTGGGTACGTTTGATTATTTTTGAGCAGAACCCTAATTCTTTTTTCTAAAATAAAAGTATCTTAAGTTACTCCATATAATATCAGCTATCTGCCAGTGTCTAAAGTCTCGAAATTTTAAAAAGATGTGTTTTTCTTAAAAGTACAAACAGTCACTTCTATTTTGTTTATCTGTATGTATATTTTGCTTTGCTTGGCATTTGTTTGGTACCTATAAAAAATTAAGTGTTTTTATTTGTCAAAATATAAAAGATTAGTGACCCTCGCTTCACTCGAGTGTGTCCCAAGGTACCTAGCAATAGTCAATAAGGTAATATACATTTTTTTCAGACTTGTAAATTTTTGTTATAATAAAAATTGTACATGTAATATTCTTACAAAATTCGATTCTCTTACTATTAATGATAATACCAGTATTAAATACTACAAAAAAATGGTTCTTTGTGACGTACAAAACATTATGAATGTACTAAAAGTACATATTAAGATTACTTCAGTAATCTTTAATTAAACATCGTTAACGTTTTAAACTAATTTTAGATATTTCTCAATAATTTCAGATCGCAGAATCTCTCAAACGCCTACGTGCAGGTAAAAAGACTTCACGATTCACTGAAGATATCGATTTCGAAAACAGCGTTGCCAGTATTGAGAACCGAATGAAAATTTCTGATAAGATTCTTGAAAGTGTCGGACTTGGTCAGAGTGAAGTCAGCAACGCACGAAGAGCTTTAAAAGAGAATGAGGAACGCACAGAAAAACGCATCGCTCGTAGAATAAATGAAGATAGCGCAATGACAAAGTGGACTGCCTTAAAAGATTTTGACGATGAAAGTGCAGCTATTCAGAGGGCAAAGGCAACTAGAGCCCGTCTGTCGGACTTAGAAGATGAAATGACAGAACTAAGCGAAAGATCCGCAGCGAGAGAGAAGCGCGCTGCTCGACTCAGAGCACTAGTGGCCGACACAGAGTCTTCTGACACGACCATGGCTTCCTCCAAGATTAGCATCCGCTCCGAACGGGAAAAGAAACAGGTCACCTTCTAAGCTGAAAAGTATCTTTATGGTCCCACTCTTTAAATATAGAGCTAATTTGGACATAGAAATATTATTTGCTAAACTGTGTATTTCTGCATTTCTCAATGTAACACGTTCTAGTCGATAACTTTTATATTATTGCATAGCGTAAAAAGCTTAGTATTACCCTGGATTATTTAAGTCTTTATTTAATAAACATTGACTAAAACTCATTTTATTGTGAATTTCTTTAGAAATAATCTCCAAACGACTTTTTCTTATTGTATTATTACTATTTTATTACTTATAGCTACTTCAACTGTATAAAAATATTAATAAAATTATTATGAATAAATATTGAATAATTTTAACCACGTGATAACAATATTAGGAGTAATTAAAATAAACTAAAATAAATGAAAGGAAATATAAGTGCACGTATGTGACTGTGCTTAATCCCATATGGTGGTAATGACATAATTGATCAAATAGCTAACTTTATTTAGAGTGTGTAACATGATATGGATCACTGTTAAAAAATGTAATTATGCCAGTTTCAACAATAGTGCAACACTATATTAAATTAGTATATTATATTATTCAATTCAACTCTTAATTTTATGGCTTTTGATTGTTTATTTTATTTTTAGTTTATAAATATAACTTAGCAGAACCCGCGATTTCGCTCGCGATAAAAGTACGGAAAAAACTCTAAAATGGTAGATTTCATACAAACTTTCATCCGCTATTTTACCCCCTCATGGGATGAATTTCTGAATATGCTAAAACACGTATTTAATTAATTATACTGAAGAGCATTTGTACCAAATTTCAAGTAATTCTGATCATAAATGTGTTTTTGGTTTGTATTATAACGTGTTTTCCCGTGGAAAAGAGATAATTTCCCGCGGTAAAGCCTATGTCACTCTCCAGCCCTCCAACTATCTCCACACAAAAAATCACGCCAATCCGCCAAGCTGTTTCGACATGAAAGAAAGACAAACAAACAAACACACTTTCACATTTATAATATTAGTATGGATATGGATTGGCACGTCACCAACAAACTAATGATAATGTGAAATCAGTTGCAGTCAGTTTTCTTCGTACCTTACAAATATTATAATATTAAGTATGCATTGTATGATGAACTGTCAACCTGCCAGATTACTAAAAGAACAATAAATATTATAAAAACCCGACTGCATAAAAGCTTACTAAAAAAATGAAAACAAGATCACGAAGGAATATAGTATTTATGCAGTCGGAGACATACACTCTTCATCCTTGCCGCTATTCCTATACTATATTCCTTCGTCATCTTGTTTTCATCTTTTTAGTTAGTTTTTATGCACATGGGTATTTTTTTTTATAATATATTTTTATATTTACAGCTTTTTAGTTTTTGCCAATTAGACATTTGAACTGATATTTAGCAATTTTTTATCCTAAATTACTTTTAAACATATAAGTTGCATATATTTTTGTGATCACCTCCTAAAAACCATTATATTGATAGCTCACTCGATTGGTTCGGAAAGACTTTTTTAAAAAAACTCAATTTAGGAGTCGGTCAAAAAGCGGTGTACTCGTGAAGGCCTCACTAACTCAGATATAAAATAGACTATGTACATAAGTTTACAGAAATGGTTTTTAGAGTGGATTCCTAATTATCTCATTTACCTATAAAATAATATGACAGAGACATAGTTCCATAAAGAAAAGAAAAGTCATTAAAGATCAACAATCCCGCTACCATTCTTCCGCCTATTCTAATATTTACACTTTAAACTACTTACTGAATATTTTAGTATTATAGTTTCATTATGACTTTATTAACTTTGAGCAATATTATTTAAATTTTGCACCGTATGACGAATAAAAATATTATATTATTGTGAACAAGCGATTCACCGTCGCTCCGCTCGGGTTCGTCCCTGATTACGTCTTAACGTTTAGTATAGATTTCTCAGAGATGAGATCTTTTCCCGCAGTAAAAAGTATTTACTAGCTATCATCATACCAAATTTTATCAAAATCTGCCCAATAGTTTTGTCGTGATGCTTTACTAGACAGAGAGACAAAAATTCTAAAAACTATACATTCGGCTTCTGTATCGACAGTAATGACTATTTCAATAAGATTTTCGAAAAAATTTACAGAATTTTATTATATGTATAGATAACATAAATTGCCAGGATTTATGGAATATGTGTCACAAATATTTGCGTTGATATACGCTACGCAGAATTTTAACCATTTTATCAAGGTATTCCATTGTTTATACAAATTACTTCCTACCAACAGAACAATCACAATTTTTATGGTATTTCATATACCATGTTAAATAACTATATCAATCGATAGTCGTTGGGGTTGTATGATTATTCACAGAATATAGTGCTTATTTTATATTATGTATATTCATGGTCAAGATAGTGGTTCCTAACAGCTTGACTTATATCCGTTGTAATATACAATAGGTGGCGCTGTAGCTATTAACATATTTCATTTTTGAGACCAAAATAACTCGTGTTCAAAACATACATAGATAATTATGTTTATGTAGTGAGAAAATATTCTAATAGGTGGCGCTGTGGTCAAGTTTATATGCTTTTATATTCTGAAAATAATATAGGTGTAGATTATTAAGTAGGTTTGTGTCGTCATCAATTTGGAGATAAGACCATGAAACTTCAATGCCTATACTGCATTTAAAAATAATTTGGAATTTGGATATTATTTACCAGTATCACTCTATACAGTGAGGATACCTTTATATGATTAATTAACAAATGCAATTGAAACATTGAAACGCTGAAGCAGACTACTATTATAATCCGAAAGATTTTATATACATATGTGTGTATGTTTAACTTCAGTCTGATAAATGAATGAAGGTGTAACTTCAGTCTGAAGTGGCTGGACGGTTTTGGATGAAAATTGTACATAAATAGACTGCATTAACTAGGTATCTAGGAAAAAGGAAACTAAGATATCTAGGAAAGCACCTGAGCAAGAAAAAAGCAAATCCGAGTTTTGCTTTCGTGTTATTTATATGTACTCGTACATACAAAATAAATATACAAACATACACACAAAAATATACTTCTAAAAAACTATAAAGCATTTACTAAGTGCAGATTGAAGAGTGCACTAGTAGCCACTATCCACCTCTTGACTTCGTCATTAAATCCTTATTCCCGAATTCGCTTTATAAAACTCGTCAGAACAAATGTAAGGAGCTTAAATTCAAAGGGTTCAGTAATAGTCATAAAAGAGTTTCACTAACCACCTTTTGACCCTATCATCAGTTCAGCTCAATGGCACCAAATTATAAGGACCCATCTTTCAGTAAAATAGTGAATGGTAAAAAATGGAATTGTCAGGTGAGTTCATTTGCAAAAAATATTTATTAGACTAGCATTGCTCACGGCTCCGCCCGCGTTCAGATGACCAATAACTAAACTCTTAGGTTTTACATATTAGTATACTCTTACATTGCAGTTTTGTATTTTTTCTCAGAAATGAGACATTTTCCCGCGGTAAAAAGTATCCTATATGTTGACCCGGATAACCATACTATCACCATACCAAATTTCATCAAAATTCCTCCAATGATTTTTCTGTGATGCGGTAACAGATAGACAGACAGACGGACGGACGGACGACAGACAGCAAAATCTAAAAACTTTAGATTCGGCATCTGTATCGATAATAATGTTTATTTCAATAAGATTTTCCAAAAAATATTTAACTTCGTACAGATTCGGCTTAGTCAATTTCTTTTAAACGTCATTATTAATAGTAACTTCATCGACATCCAAAAACATCCCCAATCCGTCTAGGATTTGAATGGTAGGATTTGAAAAAGTTATTTGAGATTGTATCCCAGACATAGGTAAGTTATGAAGTTTTCATACTGGCTAGTCTGAAGTTCGGCGTCTTGTATTCATCTGGAACTTCCAAAGTCAAATTAATTTTACAATATTACCTATCGCATCTCGCATAGTATATTTAATTATTTTCATAGTATTAGGTATGTCCTATGGTATCTTACTATGGAGAAATGCAGCTGCTATTAATACTATTTTTGTCTTGCAGAAAAGAGCTATTCGTGCAAAAGTGTCATTAAGAGATAAGTTTAAAGAAATAAAAATATTGACTGTTGCGTCTCAGTACGTGTATGAAAATGTTATGTATGTCCGTAAAAATATACACGAAGACACATTTCCCAAGAAGTGTGACATGCATAATAACATTTATGCTAGGAGCAAACATAAACTTGTAATGCCTGTCACTGGTCTACACGGAGTCAGTAATTGTTTTTATGGACAGTGGATACGCTTGTACAACAGGATCCCAGAAAATGTTCAAAAAGCTTCTATCGCCGAATAAAAAAAATGTTAAGGAACGTTTGTGTGCTAAAGGCTATTATACTTTAAATGATTTTATAGAAAATGGCACACCTTGGGAATAAAATTATCGCCTCCAGGCTACTTCAACTTGATAGAAATATTGTAAATTATAATTTTACTTTAAAAAAAGATAACGAGCTAATTTTAGTCCCGTTGAGTTTCTTTCGCCAGTTCTTCTCAGGTCTGAGGGTTCTTCTTTCCGAAATGGTAGTAGACTCATGACGTTCAGTAAAAATTGTAATAATTTAATGCTGAATAAAATATTTTGAATTTGAATACATATTATATATGTATGTATATGACTTTATGATATTTCTTTTAAAGAATTTGCTTTCGATTGTTTCGATTTTCTTTATTAAAAAAACTTAATCTTTATTAATAAAAATCTCTGTTATAATAATACCTCGAAGTTATTATTTCACGGTGTTAATTTTTTTCTTGAATCTTACAGGAGATCGTTATTTAAATATTACTAATTCTTTAAAAAAGAATTATGAAGGTTAATTCTCAACTAGAGGTGATGGCGGCAACAAAATACATACAAATCAATTGAGTGCATCTTTTATTTGAAGTCGGTCAAAAAAGAAAAATAACTTATATACATGTCTT